ACAATATGTGTGAGCAACATTCAGGTCAGTCTGAGTTAGGTGAGGATAATAGATGAAGCTATTGTGAACAAGATCATGCTACTAACTGGTAGTCAGGATGGTGAACGGTCAAGTGGTTTCACATTTATTCGTCAGATGTGAACGAAACGCGTAGGATCGCCTGCGAAATTGAGGCCAGATTGTAGATGTTTGCTCCTGTCTAACAACCTGCACAGCCCATCATTCGACGCTGACTGATTGCCTGTAATGCGTCAAGCCTATCTTAGTATTTGTCAAAAGTTGCATCATGCACTCTTACAAATGGAGTATGGAGTGTCAACAAGGAGGTGTGTTTGAAATGCTAATTGAATTGTGGTCAACTGTAATCTGCTGGGAGAGCTAGAGATGGGCATGTACGGGTTATATGAATTATTGTCCGTGAGGGGTGGGGCAGGATGCCACCATTCTATTCTCTCGAGAAAGAATAGGGCCACAGCGCCAGCTGCTGCACTGAGGGATCGTGTACCCGTCATGGTTGGTGGTAACGATGGTAACTCCGTGGCGCAATGGTGGTGCGTCCGACTCCAGATCAGAAGGTTGCGTGTTCAAATCACGTCGGGTCAATGCTTATTCTCCCTTCCCTTCTTCTCACCTCCATCCCTCCCTTGCGCCCCCTTCTTGTTACCCGCCTACAACAAACCTCACACTTATAATCCATCTCCTCTCATCGCTGGTCCACACCCTTTCATAGCTTTATTTGCCTTTACCGTCTCGGTCATGTCTCATTATCTCCAATCTCTTCCACACTACACGACATTGCCATTCCAACGTCCCTACTTTGACTGCGGAGGGAGGGGTGGTGAAAGAAGAGGTAAAGAACGTCGATATTAATGATAAAGTTAGCAACAGTGTAGCGCCAGCAGGAGCAGTGACAAAAAAGTGGCTTAATAATTAGGAAGCCTAGGTGGTTTCTTAAGGCAGGCCTTTAGCTGCTTGTTTAAGGATCTTCTGCTCCAGTCGTGAGTCGTATCCGAAGAGTTAGATAAATTGCCGCCAAAAGCAAAACCGAAAGTGTGTCCGGATTGCCTAAATGGTGTTGAAATGGCAATTGAGTCATTTCACTGCTGCCAATTTATTTGTGGTAGCTTGAAATGTGTGGAATGACCTGGCCTCTTTTTCCCTTCGCCACAGCTATTTATCGGTTCATCACTATCCTCCACCTTAGCATCAGCTCAGCGCCATCTCTCCTGTGGTGTACGGCTGGCTCATCTGTGTGACCGATGCTATTACGATTGCCTTTCAGTAGAGAACTGCATACCTCAATCATCCATCAACCGACCACACCTGTACTTCATTCCACTGGTCGATGATACCGCGGACTCCAATTTCCTGCTTACCTTAGCCGCAGCCTCTTTACCCCGAGGATAGGCAGCTGGGGC